ATTTTGCCATTAACATGAGTTTCACAAATGCCTTTGTGAACTATCCTTATAGCTCTTTGGGCTTTCTTTTTTCCCTACACATAAGAGAGCTCGACCCTTAGGTACCCTTTTGTGTAACTCGTTGTCTATGAGTACATATGGGGAAGCTAAGAGTCTTAATGCTCATTTTGCTCTTTTGTTAGCATGAGGAGGATATTCTCCTTTGGTGACGTAATTGAGTATATCTGTATACCATGGTTCTTCTTCTTCTTCTTCTTATTCTTCTTGGACCACTTTATCATCTTCTAAGGCTTGAATGTAAGCCGGCTTATGCCTTTTCTCTAAAGTTAAAGGCATTTGCTCGATTTCCGTAGGAATCCTAACCATTGAGGCTAGTCTTGCCAAGGCATCAACAAATTGATTTTCCTCTCTAGGTAGATAGGTGTATTCTACCTTTCCCAACTGGTTGGTGAGGGTCTCCAAATAGGTTTGGTAAGGGGCTAGACTTTCACTCTCTAGGTAGATAGATGTATTCTACCATGGTTTGGTGAATTCAACATTCTCGAATGTACCCTTTGTTGCTCAGAGCGTTCAATCAGGTAGATGGAGCATGAAATCCTAGAGGGTTATGTCCATATGTAGAATACATATGGCCTGGGTTTAGAAAAGTGAGAAAAACTCAATCAGGAAGTAGAATCGAGCTAACAGTGCTAGAATTGGTCGAAACAAGAACACATATTTCTGGCTCGGTTTTGGAAGAACGCAGTGTCAGCCAAAAGGGACTGTCGCCGGGATATGAGCCCTGTCGCCTGGCGATAAAATTGTCGCTCGGCGACAAAACCATATCTTCAACGACAGGCTTCATTTTCTAGACGCCAGTTCCTACATGCCTCAGCAACTGTCTGTGTTCTTAGAATTTTCAAGTTTTTCGCAACATTATTTTGATTCTAGTTGTGAAAGATATTCCTCAAATTTCCTACGTGTAAAAATCCTATGTTTTTGACTCATTACGGATGGTCTTTCCAATGAGAACCTTTTTATGCATATGATAATAATGTTAATCAAAATTACGCACATGAAATACTTAGAACTTTTCAAGTCTCATCCACTCATTCTAAATCATTGCCGAAATAAATTTTAGGAATTAAAATAGAAATCCTCCCCAGCGGAGTCGCCAAAAACTGTAGGGAATATTTCAAGCATTACCCCAAACTTGAACCCCACTGTGATCATGCACTTAAGCATGGTGGCATCCAAAGGGAAGGAAGCTAGAGCAAAAGAGTCGCCAACAAGTTTTAGGAACTTGTAAACCATTCACAGGGTGAAGGTTACACCCCTTAACGATCCAAGAGATCTTTAACTCCAATAGGTCTGGAACCAAGACTGGAAGTTCGGGGATGAAGGTACAAATTCAATCTAAAAGAGAAAGAACCTACCCTAATAATAGGCCTCTACTTTATTCTTCTCGTATTCATGTGCGCTTTCTGACTAACATGCAATCAATAAGTTTACTCTAAACTTGTTTAATCTATGTTGGTTGAATATTAATGCACAAATAAATCTATTATTGGTGATCACTTGAATTATAATCAAATTAACCCTAACAAGATTATTAATTATCTTATTAAGTGTGATTACAAGTACCAATTTCCTTTAAACATGCATAAGACGTGATGAAGCAATAACAACAAAAATATATCAAGCAACATAATAATCACAATAACAATCATAACCATGTTAAAGCATAATAATAGCAAGATCCTAGGCATGATACTAACAAGATTAATAATAAACCCTAGCATGTCACTAAACAATAAAAACATCAAAGCTTTAATCCTAACATGATACTAACATGATATTAGGAAAGAAATAGGAAGCATCACAGAAATCATAATTGATATAAGGAAACTATTCTTTACCCTAAATATGATACTAAGAAGCAATAAAACATCCTAACATGATAATAGGAATCAAAATAATAATCTAAGCATGATCATAATATCAATAAAACAATTAAAGCACTTACTTGGATGCCTCGTATCTCTTTATAATAACAAAATACACGCGTTAGTAACTTCAAGGAAAATAATAAAATCGAACAATTAAATTAAGTAATTGAAATAGAGATTTGGGACCAAACCCTCAGAAATACCAAACCTTTCAAGTCTAGGGCAAAGGCAACTTCGAATTATGCTAAGTGTGTCTAGATCTTGTGAATGCGGAATTTTGTTTGAGAAAATTTGGTTTAGAAAAGAGAGAGACAGAATATCAAGAAATTCTTGAAGAGAGTTGGTTATTAAAAACAAAGGTCTAAGGATGCTATTTATAATGAAAACAGTCCGGATTTGATAAAAAAAAGAATCGGAGTTTGCAGAGGAATAAAACACGCCTCTGTCGCAGCAATAGCCCTTGTCGCCGCGCCATAGGGCTTATCGTCGCGTGACAGGGTCTGTCGCTAGGCGACAGCCTGGCGTTCAGCGTTGTAGGCTATTTTCCACACGTTTTCTATTTTTTTAATAAAATCAAGCGTAAAAGTCAGTACGAGGGGTAAAATCGTAATTTCATTTAAAACACTTCTTTTATTCCCAATAAAACTCATAAAACTTAATTATCAATCCTAATCACATTAGGATTCAAAAGAACCTTCTAGAAGATTCTAGAAGATTATAAAGCTTAATTCATAATAGGCCCTCCTCTAGATCATTGGGCCGCATATAAAAATCAAACTGGACCCATTTTAGTAATTTGGCCATAACTTCCTCATTATTCATCGGAATTGGGTTTATAATATATCATTGGAAAGCTCTTTTCGAGCCCAATCCACTACACTATTATTGGACCCTTGTTATGGACCAAACTAAACTAGATTGTCTATTTTCATAAAATAAAATAGGTTTTCGAAAACAGAAAAAGAGATTTTTAATAAAAAAAAAAAAAAAAACTAACCGCAACGCTAGACTTTCCACACTTTCACTTCAGATTATGATTCGACGTGAAAGGTATTCATCACCGGGTTTGGTTTTGGGGAGACACAAATGGGTGTCTACAAGTTTCGATTTTGGTGTTTTAGGGTTCGGGGTGGTGGTTTTAGCAATATTTAGGCGGCGGTGACGTGTGGGAGGGCGTCTGGGCTGCCGACAAAGGGATTCCGGCTAAGGTGGAAGGCGATGAGGGGATTTTGGGTTCAAGCCGAGGAGGGAGAGTTGATTCGGTGAGGTGCGGCGGGGAGTGCAAAAGGGAGAAGTCCAGGGTCGGGGTTGTTGCCGGCAGGGGAGGGGAAATGGGAGCCGGGCAGCCAGAAAGTGGGCCAAGTTTGACCAGCCAAAGATGGGAGTCGGGATAGGATAGGGGCATTTGTGGTGGGTGGGTGGGTTTTTTATTTTTTATTTTTTAAATAATTAAATGTATAATTTTTTTTAAAAAAAATAAATAAATATTTCAATAAAATGCTTCCACATTAGTCATCTCTGTGATATTTTTGTTACACTGGTGGGTATATGGTGAATTTGAAAATTTTTAAGGGTATTTGGTGAATGAAAAATTATTCAGGGATATATTGTGAAAATTCGTTTAATTAATTAATATATGATTTATTAATTTTTTTCACATTAGTCATAAAAGATATTGAATTAGCAAATGTGTAATGAGAAATGTTGAGCTAAAAGAGAATAGATGAAATACATTAGTAAAAAATTATGTCAATGCATAAGTCAACTGTTCTATACTAAGATACTTCAATAGAAAGCAATTGCAATAGATAAACTTTACCAAATGTAGCGGTAATCTACTATTAAAAAAAAATAAAAATAAAGCGGTAATCTTTAAGTGACATATATAATCAATCTATTGAGGAGATTTCATGGTGCAATGACACAAGAGGTCGTCAAATTCGCGAGGGGTGAGGTTCGATCCCTCATCAAATAACAAATCACACCCTTCTATCTCTCTAAGACATTGCCAACTAGGTTTTTTGTGATAGGTGAAAATCAAACTATGTTAAATAAATAGAGACAAAGGGATGCTTGTCCATATGTCAATGCACCATTTATGCTATAATTAACACCACACAAGCCCATGATCGACATTACGTGTTAACCATCATACGGCCCGCCATTCATTACTTTAACATGGAAATTATGTTATACCTAACATCAAAAAATTTAGTCAAGAAAAATTAATTATGGGTCGCATTCAGAATTTTTGTAAAATAATTATTCCCTTGAAATATTGTAGACTTGTAGTTTAGTTAGTCCAAAGCAAGGACTATTCCAACTTATACTTATCTTCAAATTAGACTGTGTGGAGAGGAAGAGATAATGGTTTTAATATACATGTCTTAAAAAAATGGTGCCATTTTTTTTAAATATAAAGTTACTTTAGTTATGTTTTATCATAATATTAATTTATTATTATTAGTATATTCTTTACATATGATTGGATCATTAAAAAGGTTGAAAGTATATGGAAATAAATGTCGAACCATTTTAAAGAATAATCTTTGAGTAAAATTGTCACATGTGCTTAATTATGGACCGTTAAGTATAATTAACAATTATTTCCGAATTAAGGGAATAAGATCCATATACCAACTAATTTCTATGCATCATGCCTACCAAACATAGATTCATAGAACTTAAAAAATGAATGAATCACAAAATCTCAATTAGTAACAACAAAGTTTATTAATATATGTATATATATGAAACACTTTGTTTAATAAATCAGGGTGAAAATTGAGAATTTCCGATGAAACAGTATCACAAGACTTTTAATCTCTGTTCATAAACTATATCAATTCAAAAGAAGAAATTAGACAAATTTCTATTACTACAACGATTTTAACTGCTCGACCGATGGAATCGATTCTCAATACATGGTTTACATACCCAAATTCTAAGTAACTTGTTTATTACACGTATAACAGATCATGTGTGAAAGTGAAACAGAGAATAATACAGATAACCTATGACAACAATTAACAAGCCCTTTTGGCCTAACATAAAACGTATAATATGTGCAATTTAAGACCACAAAATTAAAAATCCTAGTAAAACAAACCCAAATAGTTGATTTGTAGCAGCTGCAAAAATCCGAGGTGAAGCGGAATAGTTGGGATCAACAACAGGGTAGAGTTGGCCTGGGGGCGCGGTCATGTAGTCAAAGCCACTACCGCCACTACCACCACTACCGCCGCTACCTGTTCCTGGTGAATAAGGTGGTGGTGGGCAGTAAGGCGAGACCGGTTTTTTCTTAGGCGGCGGTGGTGGTGGTGATGGTGGTGGTGGTGAAGGCGTTGGCGGTGGTGGACTCAAGTAGCATGATGGATTACCACAAGGTGAACAACCACCACACTTTATACTTGGGTCGGAAGATGAGCCTGTTTCATCAAGCTTCCTTGATTCAAATCCATTTATTGGACATATAAAAATAATAATCAGTAATATGGTTGGTATGATACATGAAAATGATCTTTGTGATTGTGGTAATGACATGTTTTTTAGGGGTTAGTTAATTTTGGAGGAAATTATTTGAAATTTTGTTATGGAAATAATGGATTATTGTTGGTGAAGTTTCTTTAATTTGGTGCAAAGTATGAAGTGGAAAGTGGGTGGTATTGTGGTAATGTGTAAGTGTGAGTTTGAGTTTGAAGGGAATTGAATTAAGGTCGTAAAATGATATGATATGATTTGAATGTTGCAATTACGTAATAGAATGTGCTTTTATTATTTAGCTAAGGAAGGATGCGTAGGATGTAGAAAAAGTGGGTTTCTTGGTTAGGTGGTTTTTGGCTTGTATTCAAGATGACAAGGTGGAATGACTAGGAGTTCTTTTTCATTGGTTTTGATTGGGCTTTATAGTTAAGTAATATTTTTTTGGGTTAATGCACCTTTTTTCTTTTTTGGGATACACAAAAGTTATTATGATGGTTTACCTTTATCGGTCTACTAGTTTTGTGCCAATGCGATACTTGGGTTGTTTAATGAATTTAAAGATAAATTTTTAATCTATATGTCAAATTTTAAAATATACCATTGATACAAAATTAGTTTATTGATGTGCTTTTGTGACGATTTGCTATCTAGTAGGCATGTAATGACTAATACTAATATTGGCGGAAATGTTCGATTTAATACATTAAAAAAATAAACACATAATAAATTAAATAATTTAAATGTTCAAAGCCCGTTAAACTAATTCCTTCGCTCCAAAAAATATCTATTAGTTGTGAAGTATATTATTTTAACCGATTAGTATATATTATAAATAGATGTTTTACACTTTAAACTAATTCCTTCGCTCCAAAAATATCTTATGACATAAAAAAATTAAATTTATATGATAATTTTTGAGAATTATAATCTAATTATTTTTTGAATAAAATTATACTTCAATTTGTACCTATGAAATATTGGTACTTTATCAAAAATAAAACTCTAAATTAACAATTTTATCCTAAAATTCTATCCAAATTTGATTGAAAATAAAATTCTAAACTAACTTTTTTATCCTACAAATCTAATATATATATATATATATATATATATATATATATATATATATATAAAGGGGAGTTTTTTCTCGAGCTTTTCGAGAGCCACGTAGGATTTAATTTTTTCAGCGCGCCACGTAAGATAATAAATTTTAGTGGTAGCCAATTAAATACGAGATTATTAATTTCTTTTAGAATTAAATAATTTAACTAACACGTAAGCAAAATTGCAAATGAGATTATCCAGTTTAAATTAACTAAATATTAAATATTATCTCTTGACATCAGGAATTTATCCAAATATTTAACAATTTTTAGCACATAAATTTACATATAAAAAAATTATTTTAAAAAATTCAAACAAACCGTGCATCGCACGGGCTTCATCTAGTTGAATTTTATATAACTCTATCCTACGTGGCACGACACTTGGCGAAAAGTTGGAACGCCAAGTGCCGCTGCCTCGTCGCCTGGCTAAAAGTTTAGCTTTATATATTAGTTATATGATATTTTTATTTTAACTAGGTTGATATATTTATTTTTTTGATACATTTTTTTATTCTTCTGTTAAAAAGGTTTTATTTTTAAAAAAAATACAATATGACAATTTGTTCTAAAGATTAATTATTCAACATATGATAACGTAAAAAGGAACACAATTAGTAACGTGATTTGCTTAAAATTTTGTGAAAGTGTCAAAGAATTGTATTAAATTTAAATTTAAAGAGCTATCTATTGATAAGAATTACTCATGTTTAAATTAAACTAGTTTTGTGCCCCGTCGATGCCCGGGTAGTTTATGGACTTTTAAGATAAAATTATACTACGTATTGTAATTCAATTTGATTGAAAATAGAATTCTAAATTAACTCTTTTTGCTACAAAGTCAATCTATATTGATCCAACGTGGATACTTGGCGAAAAATTAAAATGCTAAATGATGTTGTCTTGTGTCCTAATTATAAATTTATTATTTGGTATTTTATCAAAAATATAACTCTAAACTAATAATCTTATTCTAAAATTCTATCCTATAGTCTTTCAAAAAAAAAAAAAAAAATTCTATCCTATAGAATTCTTACCTAATTTTTTTTAATCTTATGAAATCTATCCAAGGTGTCGCGACACTTGACGGTTTTTTTTTTATCACATGAAGTCTAATTAAATTTATCTAAAGTGGCGCGACACTTGGCGAAAAGTTAGAATGCCAAGTGTCGCTATTTCGTGACCTGACTAAAAGTTTAGCTTTATACTTCCTCCGTTCTATTAATATTGCAACAAGGAAGAAATTACGCATCCCAATGCATATTTTATAAGCTAGATATTTATAATTGTGTGAATAAAAATTATAAAAATTTGATATTGTGACAGTATATTATGAGACGAATCCAATAAGATCTCACATGACTATATTTTGCATAACGTATAAATTATATTATATGGTCAAACAAGAGTGATGAATAGTGCAAAAAGTCCATTGTTGCAATATTAACAGAACGGAGGAAGTATATTAGTTATATGATTATAATTCACTACCACAAAAAGTGGAAAAAGTGACACTTAATACAAAACTATCAAGTTGGGTAGGCGTTCTATAGAATTATATAAAACGCCTTTGTTGGAGGACGGTTTTATAAACTGAATTATACAGAACACCTCTCTTTAACAACAGTTTTATTTGATTTAACACATAATATAAAAAATATAAGCAAAATCTAACTTCATAATATAGAACGCCTAGGAATGGTCACAGTTTTGTAAGAAGAGTCAAACAAAACGCTTCTATTAGAGAAACGTTCTAGCGCCTCTTTAGTTTAAAAATGAATCTAACCGACCTAACCCCATTTATTCTCTTTGTGCGCCTCTTCATTAGCCTTCTAAATCTCAGCCCTCCATTTTTTCCCTTCAGAACCCACGATCTCCATCGTCTCCCACAAACAAAATTGATAAACTCCCATAAACCCACCTTCACCCATTTCAATTCTTTTTTAAGCTTGAACCAAAAATAATTCTCCATAACTTCTTTTTCCTTCTTGTCTTAGTTTTTAAGCTTCAGACTATCTCCTTCACCACCGTTCTTCACCAAACTCTCTTATCGCCAAGGTCGATTTCAGGCCACCTTTGGCTCCGATTTTGTCAATGGAAGCGGTGCATCTTTCGTCTTGCGATTTCTTCTCTGATTTTCTAATGTTTACTTCTCATCTCTAGCCTGGTATGAATAATAGATTTTTTGAAATTTCATCTTGAAAATTATCGATTTGCTTTTGAATAAGCTAATATTGTTGAAAATTAGCGAAAATTTCTTTTTTTTTTCTTCTTCTTATTTTCGATCTAATATAGTTTCTATTTAATCCATAGATGTTTAATTTGTTTTAAACAGATTAATTTTAAAGAGTATTGCTTTGGTTTTGGCCTGGGTTCAATGTCTGAGTTTTTGGGGGAAATAATTAGGTTTTTGCATACTGTCTTTTTCAAAAAAATTAAATTGCTTTTCTTCTTAATTTTTTTTTTATGAAGATCCGTAACTGAATAGTTATTTACGAGTAGTACTAAATTTTTTTATCCTGAATTATCTGATAATTTTGTTTTCCTTTTGATGCAGATTCATCAATGGAAGCAAGAATAGCCGACTTATTTGATTCGAATTTTTTTTTTTAATTTTTTATCGCATTCTTCTCCATTATACAGAGTATTGAGAAGTTCAATTACTGTATTAATTTTTTTTTTTAAGTAGAATTGTATTATACGAAAGACTATAATACGAGTATGAGTTATAAATTTAGAATACGTATCATTTTGTTTGATTTAGCCTATTTTTACGGAATAGCAAATGTAAGAGCACTCTCACCAATGGGGAGAAAAATGCCCATGGGTAATTTTTGGGGTTTAATAAAAAAAAAATAACTCCCCATCAATGGTCTAAATTAAAAATGCCCATGGGCAAATCAATTTTTGATCAAAGTTTGGACAAAATTAAAAAACTGACCAAGAAGAAGTAGGCCCAAGTGCAAGCTGCATTTAAATTTTTTTTTGCTAAGCATACCTCAAAACGCAGCGTTTTGAGGAAGCGTATGCTTTGCTTGACCTCAAAACGCTGCGTTTTGAGGGTAGGAAAAGCAAAAAAAATTGATTTTGGCAGCCCTGACAGGCGCGTCAGCACGCCCAATCAGGCGCTGACACGCGTCCTGTCAGGTGAGTTGGACCAATCAGGAAATTCCTGATAATTGCAACGGTAACAATTTTGTAACGGGTATTTTGTGCTTATAAAATTAAAAAAAAATATACCAACGGCTAGAAAAAAAAATTCTCTACAAATAGAGACCCATTTTGCCTATATTTTCATATTTTCAAAATTCACATAAATTTGTTGTATTTACATTTTCTCTCAATTTCTCCCTCATAATTAGTCATCCTTTTAATATTATTATTATTATTATTATTATTATTATTATTATTATTATTATTATTATTATTATCATTATTAAAATAAATATTATTATTATTATTATTGGAAGTATAATTATTATTGTTATTATTTTAGCTTATTAATATTATTATTGTTGTTCGTTATTATTTTTGTTATTATTATTATTATTATTATTATTTTTATAATAGTTACTATTATTATTGTTATTATTGTGTTAGTTTTTGAAATTAATAAAAAAAAATAGATATGGATCCCAATAACCTTTTTTACTCAATACTTTCTCAAAATTGTAATGATTTTGATGAGAATTTCATGAATCAACCTCAATTTCAACTTTTCCTACAAAGATTGAGCAACTCCTCTCTGCAAAATCCTCCACAACAACAAATACCTCCACAACTTGAAATACCTCCACAAATTCCAACTGAAAACACTGATTACGAGCAATCACCTCCTGTCTACCAAGGAAGTAACTCTCAGTACGATGATAGCCAAGAAGAAAATGTGCCTGAGACACCTCAATACCCTCCGTCGACTCAAAGAATGCGGGTGGGTTCCAACCAACAACTCGCTAAAGCTAGTTGTATTTGGTCAGTCGCAGAAGATGAAGCTCTTATTAGGCTATATTTAAAATACAGTGGAAATGCGATAGTGGGTACGGGCATGAAAGCTGCTGAACTTTGGCGACAAATATCTGCGGCGTACGACATGGTTCAAGCTAAGAAGCCATAAATACTACCACGCAGAAATGCGAAGAGTTTGGAGAATCGTAGGAGAAGGATGGCGGCAGATGTACTGTTATGGACAAGTTGTTATGATGAAGCGGGTCCGTTAACTGGAAGTGGATTCAACGAAGTTGATCGAATTCAAAAGGCCTCGAAATTGTTCCATATATTAGCCAAACCACCACACAATTTTGTTTTCCCCACGCTTGGGAAATGATAAAGAATGACCCAAAGTGGAGGCCTAAACTCAGATGGGCATTGTCACTAAAGGAACGACAGGATTGTCAACTGCGTCCGGAAGGGGACACCGAGGATAGCAGTGGAAGTGGAAAGAGATCGAGAACTGACAGTGAAGCTGAAGGAGATGTTCCCGTTGGTGGGTTTTCATCAGGAGGTATACCCAGACCCGACGGGGTAAAAAAAGCAAAGGCTAAGCGTAAGAGAAAAGCTATTGCTCATGATAGTGCAATTTTAAGTATTGGTGAACAGATACAGGCTTGTACTGAAGTTAGAAGCTTTGAGGCAAATTTACGGCAGCAAAGGTTGGAGCTTGAAAGGGAAAAGGAAAAGAGGAAAAACAAACAGGTCGAATTACAAGAGAAGAAGATGAAATTTGATATGTTGCAAGCAATAATGTCCAAAACGACGCCACTTACACCAACTGAAGAAGCGTGGAAGGAGGAACTAATTCAAGAAGTGTATGGTGGAAAGTAGAGTAGTTTATTATGCATTATGATTTCAAGTATTTTGTTTATTTTATGTTGCAATGAATTAATTTTTATTATTAATTATGTTCCAAAAATTTATCAAATTATATTACATTTTCATATATTTTGTTCAATTATGAGTGAAGTACTAGCTACTGTGTAGATTTTTGTCTTATACAATTATGAGTCAAGTGGTTGGTTTTATCAACCATTGAACTGTCAAATCCCAAAAAGTAGTCAAGTCCAATTGTAGTTTTTGTTTTATACAACCATTGAGTAAATAGTTTTGTAATCGTTAATTTATTTGGTTTGTATGATTGGTGTACGATCATTATGTTCCAATGTTGTAATCGTTATTGTTGTACTAATGAAAAATGAAATTTCGCATAAAATAATGACACAAATAATTAATATTGTACTCATAAATAATTTAATCAATAAAAAAAATTTAGTTAAGAATAAATATTATTATTTTATTAAAAAATACATTTTGCAAAAATTAATATTAAAAATAATTAATATTGTACTACTCATAAATAATTTAATCAATACAAAATTTTGTTAACAATAAAATTAAGAAATACTAAATTACAAATTTAATGATGCGTAGGAGAGATAAATATTGGTGGGGTATAGGGTTAAAAATAGGAGAGAGAATGGTGGGGATTATAATTTTTGACCATTGGTGTAGAATAAAAATGACCAAGAAAATGCCCATGGGGAGGAGTGAGAAAGTGGTTAAAGAGAGATTGGGCAACAAAAAAAATGCCCATTAGTGGCAATGCTCTTAACTACGATAAATAATGTACTGAAAATCATTTAAATATTTTCTAATTATTTTTTTTTGAAAAAAAACGAAGAAAAGAGGACCGTTAACTGGGACATGCGTCCTATTTTCATATGATTATAGAACGCCTAATATGAGATGGGCATTCTCTTTGCCTGGTTTTTTTATCTTTTAGTGGATACAATTGGAAACGCCTACCTTGGATAGGTGTTATGTATTGTATTGAATATAGAACGCCTCAAATAGGCGTCTTATTTACTTTATAAGGCACCCTATTGGACGCCTCAAATAGGCGTCTTATCAAATAGGACGCCTCTAAGGCGTTCTATATTGCCTATTTCAGACGTTCTCTATTGCATATTTTGTAGTAGAGATTAAAATAAGGTTTCATAGATTCATATGAGATAAGATAAATGAAAATAACTTAATTAGAACACATCTTACAAGAATAGAGGAGTAACATTTTTAAAGAAAAATTCTTCCAAAATTGTAGCCTAACAACTTATCTCGAAGAATTAAAGGAAAAAAAGAAATACATATACTCTCCATCCCAAATCAGTTTTGAAAATTAATATATATATGCTACATACGAAGTATTAATTATGCTAAGTTGTCGTAAAAAAAATGCTAAGTTGTTATTTGATTATCAATTGTTATTCTATTAAAAAATAGAAGTGATAGAAAATAATAAAATAGGAATATATCAAATTGAGTATGAGAGGGTGTGCGTGGGAACCTCACTCTTGGAGTCTCAGTAGTGAAAATAAGAGAGGTGTGTTAAAATAATACTTCCTTTGTTTTTTTAGTTGCATATTTCTTTTATCATGTTTATCAATGGACTATTAAATGAGTTTATTTCTAAATATCAATTAGTCAAAATTGCAAAAAGTTGATGTTATGAAAAAATTATTTTGAGACGGTTCTAACAAAATTCACGAGATTATTATGTTGTAGTATGTTTTATCATAGTTGTTTATCAAAAACTAGTTAAAGTAGGATTTGTGAATAATATGTCAAAAGTCAAAACATATCAATTAAAAAAACCGAGGAAATAATGAAGTATAAATATTTTTCAAAAAATATAAGTATAAAACTAATTTGAGATAAATATATGGTCAATCCCATTTGCATGCCCCCGGTTTACAATATATTTATTGTAAATCGGGGACCCCGCACACCACCCATTTACTGTTTTTTTTTAAAAAAAAAAAACAAAACTTGCGGAATTTCATACCTCAAAATAAAAATAAAAAAAAACGCAGAACAACAATGGAGGAGAGAGAAATTGAGAAAACGCAGAATTCAATCATCAATTGAGGAGAGAGGAAGTGAGAAAACGCACAAATTGCAGAATTCGATCATCAATTGAAGAGAGAGAAAGTGAAAAAACGCACAAATTGGAGAATTCGATCATCAATTAAGGACAAATTAAAGAAAGTGAGAAAACGCACAAATTGCAGAATTCGATCATCAATTGAGGAGAGAAAAAGTGAAAAAACGCACAAATTGGAGAATTCAATCACTATGGAGAATTCGACTTCCGATACCACAAATTGCAGTAATCTCATCCACGAATTGCTACAAAAACAGAGGCAAATTGAAACTGAATTTAAAATCGATTTAAATCGATCGATTATAGAAGAAGAAGAAGAAACTTAGAGTTTTGGAGATGAATTATTACCAATAATTGACGATAACAACAATCCAGACAATGGAGATGATGCAGAAGAAGCAATTGACAATGCAGAAAATCAAGTGGTTCCTAGTAAATCAATTGATTCGAATTCAGAATAAACAACCAAATCAAATGCAATTGAAGGTAAATTCTATAAACTTTTGATATTGTATGCAAAAAGTAACCCTTTGAATGCATAAATGTTACCCTTTTCATGCATAAACGTGGCCCTATTTATGCACAAATGTTACCCTCAGATTGTATGCAGAAAATTCAGATTGTATGCAAAAAGTAACCCTTTGTATGCCTTAATGTTACCCTTTTCATGCATAAAAGTGACCCTATTTTCACACAAATCTTACCCTTTTGTTGCCTCCAATTTGAATGATATGATACCTTTGGTTATTATCTGATATGTCTGTATTAAATCCTGATATAAATCCAATTCATGCTTATGGTTTAGAACTTAAAGGATCATTTCTTGGTGTGGTAAGAGAAACTTTTGAAGAAATTTTGGAATTGTATGAAAAACATGCTGCTATACTGGGGTTTTCAATAAGAAAGCATACAACTAGATACAGAACAAAAACAAAAATAGTAACTGAGAAAAATTATGTGTGTTCTGCTGAAGGAAAGAGAAATTCAGGTGACAAGAAAACAAAGTTAGTTGAAATGGTTGATGAAGAGTATGTGAATGTAAAAACAAGAAAGCTAAGACAAGTAGCCATAACAAGTTCGAAATGCAAGGCATGCATAAGAGCAAAAGTGAATAAAGAAGGACAGTTTGAGGTAGTGGCTCATGTTATTCAGCATAACCATGAGCTAACAAGGTCACAGTGGCATTATTTGCATCGTTCTGAAGGAAAAATGACAGAAGAAAAAGCTTAAGAAATTAAAATAATGAAATCTTCAGGTCTAACTATAGTGAACACTTACAATTACATGGCTACAAAGGCTGGAGGAGAACAGAATGTAGGTTATAGTGTTGTAGATCACCTGAATTTCTGCTCAAGGTTAAGAATAGAACAAATTGAGGCTGGAGATGCTCAAATTTAGTGAACATTTTAAATCAGGAACAATCAGAGGATCCAAACTTCTTTTTTAGAGTGAAGTTTGACAATGAAGGAAGAATTTCCAATATCTTTTGAAGAGATTCAATGATACTAGAAGACTATAGGATATATGGAGATGTGCTTGTCTTTGATACAACATACAGAACCAACAGATATAATCTTATATGTGCTCCATTTGTTAGCATAAATAATCACTGGCATAATTGTATGTTTGCATGTGCTTTTATTGGGAATAAAAAAACAGATTCATTTGTGTGGCTACTAGAAACCTTCTTGAAAGCTATGGAGAATAGAACACCAACTTCAATATTCACTGACCAGGACCAAGCAATGGCAAATGCAATTGAGCAGGTAAAAGATTTATATTGACATTATACAGATTTTAAACTATGATAATAATTTTTTTTCCCATAAAGTTACCATTTTAACTACATAAAGTTACCCTTTTAACTGCATAAAGTGACCCTTTTAATAGCATCAAGCGACCCCTTTATTTTCAATGTAGGTGCTTCCTAATACAAGGCATACACTTTGTATCTGGCATTTGGAACAAAATGCCATAACCAGATTTGGGGCTCTTAAAAAAGACAAAGAATTCAAGTATGCATTCAACTAGTGCTTAAAGATGTGTGTGATAGAACAAGAATTTGAAGCAAAATGGCAGGCAATGATGCAAAATTATGAGTTGACAGTACACTCTTGGTACAAAAGAGTGTACGAGTTGAAAGAGTAATGATGTCCTGCCCTTAGTAGAGATTTCTTTTCAGCAGGAATCTTATTGTCACAAAGGAGTGAAAGCACTCATCATGCTATAGGATTCAGAGCAAGTAACGCAAATACCTTGACAGAATTTTATACCATATTTAAGAAGACAACCAATCGTTGGAGAAGCACAGAGAAATATAATGAGTTTACCTGTAGCAAGTCAATAGCATTCACTTCATTGCTACTGTCTGGAATGCTAAAGCATGCTACACAGGTAAAAAGTTAACTGATAAGTACATAAATTATAGCAGTTTAAATGTAGCTAAATGATTTTGGTGAAAAGGTTTTCACTTTGTCACTCTTTAGAGATTTTGAACAGGAGTTTGGATACTCTATGGCAACAACTATTCAAATGATAGGAAGAAATGAAGAATGCCTACTTTATCAGGTAGCCCTAGAAGACAAGCCATGGTCTGCAAATCAAGTAAACTATATACATGAGAGCCAGAGTGTATGGTGTACTTGATAAAATTTTGAATCATCTGGACGGTTATGTTATCATTGCATCTGAATTCTACACTTGCATTTAGTAACAAGAATACCAGACAAGTATGTTTCAAAAAGATGGACTAAGTTTGCAAAAACATAAGCATAGGATAGGTTAAAGAATCAGGATCCTACACAGCAATATATTCCAATGGAGGCAAACAATGATGAGGAAATTCTACAAATTAATCTTAAAGAGTCAAGAGAATGAAGAGACAAGAGCATTTATGGAAGAAAGCTTCAGAAATAGTTTTAAAATGGTGGAAGACTTACTTGCTAGTGCTGCTCAGAGAGAAAGTACGGAAGCTGCTTCTAATATTCCTGATGTGGCAAACAACACTCACAACAATAATGATGTTTCTTCGGCATTGAGTACAAGCACAAGTGTACCAAAAATACTTGATCCAAAAAGGGATGTAACATAAGGAAGAGGCAAGAGAGCAAAAGGAGGTCTTGAAAAAAAAGCAAGAGAAAAAGAAAACCAGCACTACCACCTCCACATTCAGAATTTGGATAAAAAACACCTAACTTGAGACTCTTTTAGGAACTTTTTTAAATCAATTTTTTTTTTCAAAATTAATATACTTTGTATTGTAAAACTTTTTTTTTTCTTTTTTTACTCTATGACTAGTTTAATGAAAATGTGATTGACACTATTATTAGCACATGTTTAATTAGTGAACCTTTTAAATCAAGATCAGAGGATCCAAACTACAAAAGTGACCCTTTTAATAGAAAAAGTGACCCTTTTCCAAGCAAAAAGTGGCCCTTTTAACAAGAAAAAAGTGACCCTTTTCACATAAAAAAGTGACCATTTACGCAGCTTTTCACATGAACTTATGTTACCCTTTTCATGCATAGAAGTGACCCTTTTTATGGCTAAATTAAAGTTACCCTTTCTACCCACTAAATTTACCTTTTTTTTGCGTAAAAGTAACTGTTGAGGGTAAAAATACCCCTCACACGTGGGCCAGTCCCATATCGACACGTGGCCCAATTAAAGGGCGACACGTGTCGCTATGGGAAGATGCCACGCGTGCAGCTTAAAAGCCCTCAAAGAGATTTGGCCAATTCTGTAGCACCACGTGGCCCAATGAGAGGGTGACACGTGTCGTTACAGAATGACGCCACGTGTTTAGAGCATACTTGGCCCCTCAGATCAGCACGTAAAAAAAGGCCTAATTACATCAGGGCCCAAATCCCGAGAGATATCATTGAAAGTCGCAAAGCGGCGCCTCCAAAGCAACACGTGGCATTCTCCGATTGCGCAGCCAATCACGTCACGCAATTTTAGGGTACAAACCCTAAAATGGGGCACCAGCTCCACCCCTATAAATACCCCAATCATTTATGATGGGGGAGTGGATTTAGACATTGCAAGAAAAAGAGCATTAATAGCTCTAACTTCTCTCTACTTTCTCTCTCTAGCCCTTTCCGTTTCCGATCACTGACTTGATCGTTGGAGGCAAATATTCCGACAAACGGAATATTAGTTGTTTTGTAGGTGTATCAGTCTCGTTGCCAGAAGAGCGTGACCAGTATCCGAGGAAATCCAAAAAACACCCGAAATGTTTGGCGCCGTCTGTGGGGATACTCGTACGCTATGGCAATAGACGGTCAAACACCTAATCCCGGCGAGGACGGACATGTAGAGGATATAATCCCTACAATCCGTACCAGCGATCCGCTGATTGCCACATTTCAAGAAGCTGATGACCCTCCCGTTACCGCAGCCTCTCTGAAGGCCGCACTCAACAAGCTTAGGAAGGAGTTTGAGAGCAATGGAGCCTCTACCTCTAGGTAGCCTCCCAGGAGAGAGGGACAAAGGGCTCCAAAGAAAGCACAAAGCAAAGCGGCTGATGCAACAGGGAACACCCCTTTCGTAGGCTGACTAGAAGGTCCCCAAGGGTACCACGGACAAATTTTTCTGATCTGCTAGCGAAAACACAATCGGCTGGGGGGAGGAGTAGGCAGCCTCGAAGAGAGGAGCCTGAGCCGTCTAGACAATGGAAGGACGCAAGGGATTATCTTCGGCATAAGCAGCGGGAACGTGCCGCTTACTCGGACACGGCCTCAACTCCAACTATGCCAAATGATTTTTCAAATCATTTTATCTCCCAGCATACCAACACGGCCATCTCAAGCCGAAGTCAAGTTGTCCGCACTCCAACTCCTATTTCAGTCGTCCGCACTCCAACTCCTATTCCAGTTCAATCACTTCAATATCAACCTCCCTAGGGATTCAATGGCTTGATGCAGCCGAATCCTCAAGTCTTCGGACAATATGGGCCATGCGGGCAGACGTACGGCCAGGCTCCCTACCTGGCTGGACCGTCCGTACAGCCACAACCAATTGATTGACAGATGCGCCTTCTGACCTTGGGAGATAAGCCGCCTCCGTTTTCGCAAGATATTTTAACTGCCCCTCAGCCGCCGAAGGTGAAGAGTGTACTTATGGGAGCTTATGATGGTACGGGCAACCCAGAAGAACACATCACCTCGTATAGAAACCTGATGTACTTGCAAAGTGTAGATGACGCTATGATATGTCCATTTTATATTGTAATTTATCCCTGTCCCTTGGTCATAATTAGTAGTGTTTTTGGCTCTTTCGAGCCATTTTTATTACTAATTTGTGTTTTCTAGTGCTTTCGAAGTCTTTGTTGAGTTTTGTAGGAAATTGCGCCTTTGGAGCATTTTCTCGGGTTTTTTCATGGAGCGACTACGGGAATTAGAAGAGCACGGCCATCTTTGAAGCCCAAGGCCGGTTAGAGTCATCGAGCCGTTGATTAAGGTCTCGGTAATTGGGATTCCGAGGTATTTGGACCGAGTATTCAAGACCCGAAGAGGAAATCTGGATTGGGCCGAGAAATCAAGCCCAATCAAAGTCCGAGCTCAAAGTGAAGCAAGGGTCCGATCGGGCGGAGCTCGCCCGGTCGGGTGCGCAACCAGGTTTCTGGAAATCAGCATTATTCGCCCGATCGGGCGAGGCTTGTCTGATCGGGCGCGCCTTATTTTGGACGTCCTCTATATTCTTTCCCCTTCTTTCTTTCCTCACTTTCTTCTTCTTTCATCTTCTTCACCATTACTTTCTCTCTCTAAAACCTCCATTTCTACACCTTCAAACTTCCTTATTTCCAAGATCTCCTCCAATTCTTCCATCAAAACTCAAAATTTTTTGCATATTTTTAATCCTTTCATCTTTCTCTACAATCTACACCTAATTTCTACCACTTTCTCTCAATTTTCTCAAAACCCTAAGAGAGAGAAAGTCTCCAATTCCTACTTTTCTAATCACAAATGGCTCTTAAGATATCAAGAACTGTAAGGGGGGAAAGCTCAAGGCAACAAGAAGCAAGGATTGACCCGGAATTGCAAGTTCCGGGATGGGAGAGGGTGGTCATCACCACCCAAGAGCAAAAACAAAGGATGATCAACCTCACTTCGAGGCAGGTAATTCCTACTCGTTTTTTTCATCACCCCACCCTTATTAAATTAGGAATTGATAAACATGTAGAAAAGTTGTTCAAGGGAATTGGCATGAGTGGTTTCTTTAACATGCATTACGATACTTATGATTACTTAACCTTGGAATTCGTTTCTAGTTTTAACGTCATAAAATCTAATGCTTTAATTTCTCATGTTCAATTTATATTACTTAATAATGATGTTAGATTGACCTTGAAAGAATTTGGCAAATTTTTGAGTTAAAATCGGATAGGCCAATTGAACCTCCCCAAGACAACATTGGCGTTGTCTATCAATCCCTTACGGGGGATGCTAATTTGAACCTCCAACATGCCAAGGGCACTTGGATACAACATCCCGTGCCAAATTTTTGGCAACGGTTTGTTGGCATTACCATCTTTGGAAGGCATGAACCCGCTAATGTTAGGCGGGATGAGCTTGAATTGTTAGGGTCATACATGATTCCTAGGAGTGAAAAGCTCAACATAGTCCACAAAATGGCCAACCACTTCCAACGGGTGGCCAATGCGGCCGAGGCAGGTAGGTCTAGGGTACCCATTTATTTTGGTGGCCTAGTAACTCACACAGCGGTCAAACACCTTAACTTTGTCCCTAACAATGACGGTAAGGTAGCCGGCCCAACTATTATGGACCTACCCTATTTAGGTGGCCTTAATTGGATTAATGTCATGGGAGGTGAGACTTGGTGGGTGATTCAACGGGAATCAGGTAGAAGGGATAATGCTTTCACTTTGCCCAACCCCACCTTGACCAAATTTGAGAAGGGGAAGCCTTCTTACACTTTCGAGATTAACGGTCAAGGTGAGGTTCAACCACCTCACCCTTCACCTCAACCCCACCAATCTCCCATAGACCCCTCACCTCATCACCATTCACCACACTACCCACCACCTCCACCCTTTACATATGATATTCCCACTTCCTCTACCAACTACAACATTGACCCCAACGCCCCTTATGACTTTTCGGCTTTTAGGAGCCAATTAGATAGGATTGAGATGGGGCAAGGGAGAGTTGAGGGTATGGTTAGGGACTTGGACACTAGAGTAGGGTCTCTAGATAGACAGGTGGGGTATGTGGAGAGGAACCTCGGGAGGGATTTATACCCCATGTATGATGATTATGCCCGTCAGGGGGCTATTCCCCCCGATTCACTTGTTCCCGATTGGTTTCAATATCCGCAAGGTGGATATACGAACCCAAGTGCCTATGGTACCTATGCAGACTACTCATCGGTCCATGGTTATGGGACCGATGTACCTTTTGGTGGGCTTGGGGGGGAGTGTGGACCCTAACTACTTTGCAGGTGGTTCAGGTTATGGTGGTGGTGGCTCTAGCCATGGAGGAGCCACGGAGGGGGCTATTCGAGGATGGATGAGGATGAGGAGTAGGCTACACTCCCAAGTCAATGAGAGCATTGCTTGATTTGTCTTGGGGGGGTGATCTTTCGCTTGGTAATTCTCTTCCTTTTCTCTTTTTATTTGATTTCTA